TTAAAAAAAAAAATGGAGGCCCCTACTGCACAAAGTTGAAAAGCCCTGCCCTACAGTGACACCAAATGGTGACAGACCAAAATACAGCACGCACACAGGACATTTGTTCAATTTGACCTTCCTATACATGTTTTGAGTCCTTAGAAGAATGGGCACCTTAACAGAATTAAATAATATAGACACCAATACTCAAAACCTAGAATTTTTTAATCAAAGGAAGAATAGTGCAACCAGCTTCAAATGCAAATTTTCAGGCATCTTTCCAAATTTCAGCTAATCTTCTGATCCCACTGAATATTTACATCTCTTGTTTCTCACACAGTTAAACCATGCCACGGTGAGCACAGTGATTTTACCTAATGGTTTACTGATCACAGAAACACTGCAAATGTATTTTTTTTTTAATGCAGTCAGACAACTAAAGTCAGGTTCTACTCATTGGGAACCAACGTTTGGTAAGTAGGCAATATTTTGGAGGGATGAATGAGGTGTTGGCGCTGAAGAGAAAAGGAAGGAATCCAAGAAAAGAGACAGGCAACTGATCTAACGAATGAATTTCTAATAAAGTGAATAAAGCACGAGGCTAAGGCATGCTAACTATAAACCAATTTCTCAATAAAAAGTTTTCTCCTGGGCTGTCCAGGGAAAAGAATATTGCAAATTAAGTGTATCAGTTAGTATTCAGTGTACTCTGCCCAGAACCTAAATCAACAAATAAAACCAGTATGTAAACTGTCTGTTTCAAGTCACACAAAAAGACACAGAGATGGAACACCTCCCAGAGTATTCCTCTAAAATACCATTTGACCACACCCTTAGTCTCTCAGCATTAAGTGACAGTCTGTTCTGATTTTTCGCTGGGTTATTTTTCATATGCCGAAATCTCCCAGAAAACACAGAACACATAAATATACTGTAATCAGCTACAAAAATAAGTCAACATCATTAAATTATTAGACCCTGAATTCATAGCACTGGGTATCAATTCAAAAGGTACCAGCCCACCAAGCACCACCAAGTCACCACCACTACTAGAAAACAAGTCATGAACACCTGATAACTGTCCTGCTCCAACTAGCCAATGTCCAAGTCATATGAGGGCAGCGAGGAGAATTAGTTCAGGAAGGCACCTTAAAATAAGGAACTACTTGAAAAAAACAGATGAGCGACTAAATGCTTAGCACCACAGGAGTAACCATGTCTAGTCAAGCATTAAGATTATTCTTTTAGGAATAGAGGTAGTATCAGCATTAAAGAATTTTGCTTACAATTTTAAGGCAGAAATAAATAAAAGTGGGTATGAAACTCTGTATTACTGAAAAACTAGAGAGAATATAGACATATCAAATGCTTTTGTCTTGAAAGAAAGCTTCAAGGACAATTAATTTAATGGATACTGACATTGACATAAATTTTTGAATAGTATACATGTATACAACATACTATAGGACATAAGAGCCCTGGAAAGCTGTCTGTGAACAAAACACGAAAAAAGTAAAACATATTTCTAATTTACATGTTATATCTTATATATATTCTAACTGGTCTTTAATTGACTCTGGTTACTAGCTTTTTGAATGTGTTATTTGATGGTTCGATTCCCGGCCTGAGCTGAGCTGCCGCTGAGCTGCCAACAGGTGGCAGTATGGCTCAGCTAAAAAAAAAAAGAACTGAATGTGTTACTTTTGAACACTGCTTTTCTATCAAAGATAAAATAATGTAAACAAATGCCAATGTCTTGGTAGAGCTGCTTTTTGTTTATTGTTTTACATAATTCTTGTGTGGAAGTAAAGCTGATTATATAATGCAAACAACTGTAGTGACTTTATCCATTATTGCATCAAATTTGGGTGTATGTTTAAATACAACACACCTCTATGAGAAATCTGTACTTCACAAAAATCAAATTAATAAATGTACATAATTTGATAGAAGAAAAAGTAAAACTGACTGGCAAGTAACATAACTGTATCATTTCAAATGATTTTTGTTAAAATGAAAACAATGCTAGAAATCACAATATCTGTCTACAGAACCTGAAAATGAAATAGCTATTCTCAAGTCTATGGAAACGAATGAAAAGGCAAGCTTTGGCCTCTTTGGGAGTGCAAAGGCTATTGAACACTTGACAAGTGCTTGTTTATGACTCGGACGACTTTTCAGGTTGAAATGATTAGTACTTTAAGTCTAGGTTTAGTCAATACGTAAATGTTTTTCTACAAAAGTCTTACAGGAACCTGCAGTTTAACTTACCTCAGAGTGAACAGCCCATCTTCCATAGAAACATAATTTCATAAGTTTGTTATTTTAAACATGAAACTTACTATCATGAGACTCTTACAGAAATATCCATGATAATTATAAGCAGTTTCCTAAACCGGCCAAATTATTGTACTATTTACACAATGTTGATAAACTGAAAACATATCACTCTGTAATGAATTAGCAAATTTAATACTGAGTTTTTAACCTAGAAAGGAGAAGAGGGAAAACTTCAGGCAGTGCACACTCTTCCACAGTTTTTCTCTATCACTTTTTTGGGGTAATTCTCAAGTATTGTTTGGAACTTTAAACAGGTCTTTGTCCCCATCTTTTTGGGGGGAGTGGAGGTTGCAAAGTAGGAGGAGACAGATTGTTGGGAATGATGAAAAGTTTAAAGAAAAAGGCAAAGATGAAGAACATTACTATTTTATATATATATATATATATATATATATATATATATATATATATATATATATATATATATATATATATATATATATATATATATATATATATATATATGACTCACTTTTTCAACTTTCACCTTTTTCACCAAAACAACTCTATTTTAAAATGTTAGTACTACATAAACCAGAACGTAAAACACAGTGTTCAAGAATATTCATAATCAACAGATGATAAAGCACAGTTAACATTGTCCACAGGACGTGTTTTTTCAGCAGCATCACTCTTTCCACATTAAATTCCATTTGCAATCAGGTATGACCTGCCATGGAATGTGATTCAGGTCAAGTTTGAGCTGACAGGTCCTGAAATGGAAGTGGTCCATCTCTGTCTTAAAAGTTAAAACTATAATATAACATCTAGCACTTGTAACTGGGAATATAATTATTTTAATGCTCTAATCTCTACGAGTACACGGCTTGGAAACCATAGCTCTTTGATTTGAACTCTAGTTTTTTAAAAAGGGCATAATCTGGCTATTTTAATTATTATATATATATATATATATTTTTTTTTTTTTAATATTATAAAATTTATTGGGGTAACATTGGTTAATAAAATTATATAGATTTCAAGTGTACAATTCTATAATACACCTGGCTGTTTTACATAAACAAAATATTTGCTAGTTTGAATTCATTCTTCTTTGACAATCACTAGAATACAGTAGTAGTTTTAATCTTTTCTGTGATGATATGAAACATAAAAAGTTATTTAAGTAGACATTTTCATATAAGCTGGTATGTGTTTTGAATTTAATGTACATGGAAAATATTTCAGAATTATAATTTTACATTTTATGATTTTCATTCAAGAGTCAAAAGAGATGGCCAGAAATCAAAATTCTAAGTAGTCTGTAATTAACAATTTAATGCAAGTTCTCCCTTACTCATTTATTCTCACAAGGAAGACATTACAAGTATAACATTATATAGGGATCAAGAGAAAGACAAAGTGGTCAGGTAACAGAAAATAAAGCAAACAAGGAAATACAGAGGGAAAAAAGAAAAACAGAGGAAGAGTAAGTACCCTGAAGAACTGGATAAAAAAATAAAAAGCATTCTTGTAAATACAGTAAGTTAAGAAGTTTTATAATAAGAATTATAAGACTGTGAATAGGAAAAACCCTGCTTTATTTTCCTTCTGTTTTGTATTGAGTTTAGTGAACTTCGGGGACTTTGCAGGGAGGGCTGAGCAGACGGGTCTGTGACGAGAGGAGGGTTGAGGAGCAGATGCCTGCACATGCGCAATGAGGCCTGGAGACACAGGCCTTCAAGCCAAATTTTAGAAATTATATGAAATGCAACTCCATCACGTCCCTGGAGGTTGGTAGTAAGAAAACTAAAGAAGAAAGAAAACAATAAATTATATATATATATATATAAATAAATAAATATATATATATATATATATGTGTGTGTGTGTGTGTGTGTGTGTGTGTGTGTGTATGTGTGTATATACATATATATATACTGATAAAAAAAAGAAAAATAACCTTTATATATATAAAATAACTGAAGAAGAAAAAATAATCTTTTCATATATATAATTATACCTATATACGCACGTGTGTGTGTGTATAAAAGAAAACACTAGTTTAAAGTATTGTCATGATAACTGAGTGTAACCTAACTCAAAATGGTAATTTAATGGCAGGAAAAAAGAGCAGCAGAAAGAAAACTGGACAAAAATCTTAATTTTAAGCTGCAACACAGCTAATATATAACCTTGGGTAGTCTTCTCACCTCTTCAGATTCTAACTTTTAAAAAATGAAAGGCTGAAACAAGGTGATTATCAACGTGTCTCTAATTAAAAAATATATTCTTTTTTCACCCTCATTGCTAATACAAGACTATTTCTAATTTCAGATCTAAAATATGAGACGAACTAAAGTGAGTGATTAGCACGAGAAACTGAAGCTACTTTTGCAATAGGTAGGAAATACAGAGCTCTAGAATACGTCATAAATATACTCTCGAGTCATAAGGAGTGCAGTTTTCATTTTACATTTTGACATTAAATAGAGAACTTAAAAAATCATGTTTAGAGTTTTAGAAAAAGCCTTGGACTTCCCTTAAGGCTAGAGTTTCAATATATATTTTAAATCAAGATCATTTTCCATAAACATCCTTAGTTAAAAAAAAAAAAGATGGACACGAAAGGTTTGTGCGTGATACTGACGTGAAAAGGCTTGACATTTGCTTTCCTCTGTTTTGCACAGAATAATCATCCCCTCCAAAAACAGTTACCACTGACAGCCAGCACTCACCACAACGGCAAACTGCTCGGGTTCACACAGGTTGTGATAGTCGCTCTTGAACTGAGACAATGAATTTAGTTGTTCTTGATCAGGAAGATGCTTTATTAAATTCTGAAAATTAAAAACAAAAGACAGTATCTTCACTAAAAGTGCTCCTTGAACTCTAGGAAAATTTATTAATACACTATGGGAAGGAAACTGGTAAAGCAGTTAATCTTTAGTCTTATTTCTAGGTAGCCTGCCTTATACGAAGCCTGAAGCTACATTCCCTGCATCTTGAAAGCAGGGAATTTTTCTTCTTTTCTATCCAGAGTTATTATATATTCAAATCAAGCACTACTGAATGTTTATTTGATTAGCTATATAATTGAGAAAGAAGAACTGAACCTATACCCAAGAAACAGCTTTCTCACCTGGATAAATGTGATCAATTACAGTTCAGCTTTAGGGAATTAAACGTCAGAAATTTCAGGCAAAGCCAAACATATTTTAACACTTCACCCACAGGGATAAAAGAAATTATCATATTGCTACTAAAAGGCAAGGGAAAGAATAGAATAGAAATCAAGGGAATATTAATGACAGTTCTCACGAGATTTAACCAATATGATTACGGTTTAAATAATAAAAATGAAGATATCTCTAAAACAAAAACAAAGTGATTTTTCTAATGTGAAAGAAAATTTGAAAAGGCACTGAGGACACAGGATGGTATGCCTTGCAGATAAAAGCATATACGTATACAGGTCCTTCAGGACTTACCGCCCATGGCTGTAATGCCCTTTCCCTAAGTCATATGCTGTCCACACACCACAGGCTCATGGGTCGTTCTGGCTCCTTTGTGCATGCACAGCCTTCCCAAGCCACACATAGACAAGAGAAACACTCCCAATGAAGAAGACCCAGGGACTACATATAATTATGCTTCCCTGTTAGAATTTAAATGATTACACAACCCCTTGGACAAAGTCTATACTGTATCAAAATATAATTGGCTATAATAATGTTGTAACAAGTTAGTGTGCTGATATTAAAATTAAGAAAAAAAGAGGGTTTGGTGCTCACAATCCCAAATTCTAGTATTGGTATATTCTGTGCAAGCCCAAATGCAAGTACAAATTTAAATTAAGCCTACATCATGCTATATATATATATATATATATATATATATATATATATGGGGAAAAAATCCCTCAAAGGTGTTATTAGTTAAAAATGATGTTAGAGAATGCTATACTCGTATATCGAAGTAGTTGATCCAAAAACAAGTTTCTGACTCACTGTATCTTTGCACAAAAAGTTGGTTGACTGGCCAAAAAACAAACAAAAAAATGTTAATTTAAGATCATCCTTAAACACGTATTTGCTATTAATACTACCAACTGAATAAAAACAATACAGGTATACACCTTTCCCATATATACAGAAATTTCTCTTAGTAGAACTGCCTGAGACCAAAAGACCGGTTATTTTTACTTTCTTTTAATCATTCCAGTTGACAGCTGGATGATTTAAGTTCTTGCATCAGGTCTCTAAATTCCTCAGCATTCTTTATATGACCATCCAATCTCCTTGAATATGTTTAGTTAACATACAGAGGGTGCCAAAAAAATGTATACACATTTTAAGAAAGGAACACTGTATTAAAATTGTAATACTCAATATATACCGATAACAAAAGATGAATACAAGTCACGTTTGACTTCTGCAATTACAAGAGGTGCTCAGAGTGGTTCCCATCAGTATCCAGACACTTCTGATGACAGTGAACTACTGCTTGAGCAACATTGACCAAAGTGTCCACTTGTACACATTGTTTTAGCACCCCCGTACAATTAACTTTTAATCTCTCATCAGAAATTTATTAATGTTTCACTTCACTATTTTTGCTTCCTAGAGTAATAACTATTGTGATTTGTAAGAGAGCAGTACAACTCAGCCTTCTTCTGTCCCTTTTCCATGTTCCCCACACACGACAGATCCTAAGGTCCTACGAACTAACCACCTCACAGCTGCCCACACACACACCCAGTCCCTCTCTCACAGCTCAGAGTATTATTGCTCTCAGAATAATTGCCCCTCACTGCATTACTCACACAACCCCTCTCTGCCTTTTCTACATCCACAGCATATTCAACATTTTGGGGCCCTCATCTGCAAACATAAACATACCTGGCACTCCCCCAACGCATTGTCTAGCTCCAAAATAATCTTAAATCAGCCACATTTATCTTGCACTATAGTTTTATATACATAAATGTCATCTCCCTTGGCACATTACAAATTCCAAAAAGGTAAAGTCTGTGTCTGCTTGAACCTAATCCAGTGCCTTGCACATGGCTGGCATACACACACACACACTCACTCACACTC